CTCAGAAAAAAAAAAAAAAAAAAAGAGAGTTGTTAGTATATAAATTGTCCTAGAGCTTTAGACCTGATGAAATTCAGGAAGTAAAAGTAAAAGAGGAAGTCCCTGGATTAAGCACTGGAACAATCAATATTAAGGTATTCAGGGAGAAAAGAAGATAACAGTAAGAGACTGAAGAGAGGCAGCCAGTGGACTATAAGGACAGCTAAGGGAGTGTGGTGGCCGGGAAGACTGTGTATGCAGAAGAGATGATAATCGGCCCTGCATTAGTAGATACTTAGGAGCATTAATACAGTAATAACATAGCATAATACTCAACTTATAGGAATTGAGCAGTAAATATTAGCTCATAGTAGTAATGGTGGAGGAATCGGTCATAGATATAGTAATGCAAGTAGTAGTATTTCTGAGCATTTTTTGTGGTACATACCACAGATAATTAGGAGGGGGTGGTTCTGATTCTTTCAGCTGGTTTTTACAACAGAGATTCCCATCATTTTTCGTGCCATGATCATTTTTGGCAGTCTGGTGAACCCTTCTAAGAATAACGCTTCCATCTTCTGTGCCCAAAGTAAAATTCACAGGAGGCTGCGCTCGGTGGCTCATGCCTGTAATCACTTTGGGAGGCCGAGGCGGGTAGATCACCTGAGGTTGGGAATTCGAGACCAGCCTGAGCAACATGGAGAAACCCCATCTCTACCAAAAATTTAAAAGATTAGCCAGGTGCGGCAGCGCATGCCTATAATCCCAGCTACTTCAGAGGTTGAGGCAGGAGAATCGCTTGAACACAGGAGGCAGAGGTTGCGGTGAACTGCGATCACGCCATTGCACTCCAGCCTGGGCAACAAGAGTGAAACTCCATCTAAAAATAAATAAATAAATAAATAAATAAATAATGAAATACATAGAATTATATGACTATATTGAAATATGATAATCATAATATTTTAAAAACACATCTGTTGTATGCCTTTTAATTAATACATTAACTGTTGATTTGTAATAGTCTAACAATTTCATCATGGTGATGAATATGACCAATATGTCAAGATAGCAAGTCTACTATTAAAAATATGTAATTTCTATTGTTAGCAAATCCCACATGTGGATATTATGATTTTGGTACCCGCTTTAATGATAGAAGGGACTGCTAAAGTTAGTCACAGGTTGTGAAAATAATATGTACCTTTTTCCCACATATGTTCATAGAGTCCTAAATTCTATCCTTGGAACCCCACATTAGAACCCTTGAGTTAGAGATAAAATAAATCCCATATATAGGAAATCAACATAGGAAAATTCATTAATGATGTGTAACTTATAATACACCATGATATTATATTAGTGCATTTTTTTTCAAAAGAAGAAAATTGTTCTTGGAACACCCTAATAAGAACAGGTAGATAATTCAAATAATTAGCACATTATGCCAGTAATGTCAAAATCTCTGTTTCAGTCAGACTGTTAAATCCATCATTTCCATATAAAGAAAAAATGAGATACATGAGCCCCAATGAACTATGTTATTCATGCATGAAATTAGTCAAAAGGTAGAGAAGGCATGAGAATATGTTTACTTTTGCTCTACTTCTGGGAAAAAAAACTTCAATAGTGTTTTTACTAGCAGATTAATAGGCCACATTCTGGATAATAGGCACACCAGAAGCTTGCCTATTTCAATTCATACCGCTCTTTTATTCTAACCTCAAGTGATGAATAATATGGGCATGAAAATATAAGAGAAAGATTTTGGAGTAAGTAAACAATCCACTTGATCTGCTATCATTGTAGAGAGGAAATCAAAATGCCATAAAACAAAATGCTACAAAGAATTTTTGCTAAAGATGAAAAATCCTCAGTTCATATATGAGAACTTCTGTTACTATTAAAGGCTTTGTAAAATAAATAAATAAATAAATAAATAAATAATTATACCCCAAATAGTTCAAATATTTATTTTAGAATTATGAATATTCTTTGGAAAAGGATGGTGAAGTGAATTCTTTTGGCCTCAAATGTTTTGATCTGCAAACTTGCAAAAGATTATTTCACTTTGTTTTATCTTTCTGGTGTGCATTGCATGCCAAAAAGGAGCATATGGAACTTGTATTTGCTATTTTCTTCATTTAGTGCTGTGATGATAAGCTAGTAAAGGCTCTCTTTACTTGTATGTCAAGGTGAGAGTGATTTGTCATGCAGTAACCTTGATTTTGTGGTTCCTTTCAAACAGGGAGTGTGGAGCGGGTACATTTGTCAATTTTGCATCTTTAGAGAGGGATGGAAAACTTCCATACAACTGGTGAGTATTGTTTTGGACCAAGCTTCTGCATGGTTTAACTATGCTGTGTGTGCTCCAAAGTTGGTTTTACTGTCTTTGGGGTTAGTTTTGCCTGATTCTCCTTTTGTAATTTCAGTGATGGTAGACTTTCAACAGCCAGATCTTCACGGAGTATAATGGCTTATATAAGCTCAGTGCAGTTCTGAAGTGGGGAAAGCATCATAGCCTGCTCTGTATTTACAATATTAAACAAAGGACTGAAACAGTTGTGCACAGGAGCCCATACCTGTGCTGATGAAGGGCTTAAATGCAGGGGCCACACTGAACAAGTGGTGGATAAAGGCACGAGAAGAGATTCCAGTGAAGCAGCATGAGACACAGCAGCATCTCCATTTTATTTTATTTTATTGTTTATTGTTTTGTATTTTGCGGGGAGACAGAATGTTCCTCTTTGGTCAACCAGGCTGGAGTGCAGGACGATCTTGGCTCACTGCAATTTCTGCCTCCTGGGCTCAAGCAATCTTCCCACCTCAGCCTCCCGAGTAACTGGGCCTACACGCATGCACCACCACATCTGGCTAATTTTTAATATTTGTAGAAATGAGTTCTCACTATATTGCCCAGGCTGGTCTCGAGCTCCTAGGCTGAAGCGATCCTCTCACTTCGGCCTCCCAAAGTGCTGGAATTACAGGCATGAGCCACCATGCCCACCCAGCATCTCTATTTTAAACTCACATTTCAGTGCCTGAGGAGAATAAGAGTCATGATTTCTGTTAAAAAATTATACAGCCCAGGCTAGGTGCGGTGGCTCACGCTTGTAATCTCAGCACTTTGGGAGGCCAAGGCAGGCAGATCACAAGGTCAGGAGTTTGAGACCAGCCTGGCCAACATTTGAAACCCCATCTCTACTAAAGATAGAAAAAATTAGCTGGGCATGGTGGTGCACACCTGTAATCCCAGCTACTTGGGAGGCAGGAGAATTGCTTGGCCAGGGAATTGGAGTTTGCAGTGAACCAATATCACGTCATTGCACTCCAGGCTGAGTGACAGGGTGATTATGCAGCCCGGTATTCATTTCTCATGCTTACAAATAAATATCAAAGCCAAGGAAGTTTCATAAGAAAACATGGCTTCATTTTTCCTTATGCTTGAGTATTAAGGACCTGGAGTGAGGAAGTGTTCGAATTTTAAGGAGCATTGTCAAGAGATTAAATTGGTTGACATTATACCTTGACAATGATAGATGAAAATTAACAATTCTATTAAGTTCAATTACTGTCCAACAAAAGTACTAATTAAGTAAATATTGAACATGAAGCTAGTACTACTTATATGGTCTAGTTTGTTTCTTTTGCAAGCAATGATGCAAAGTATATGTAAATGAATATGTCATATTAATCATTGTTATTTCTTTCTGTTTTCTAACTCCCTAAAATGGTTAATCTTAAAGAAATATATATGGGAGACTGGAAATTTTACAGAACCAATGAGGGAGGGAGAACTTTATTTAGGATATAAATTTTACTTTCCTCAGTGTGTCCGATACTCACTCTAGTTGAAAATCTAGTTGAAACCAGATTCTTTTTAAAAATACAATATGTTGTGGCATTTTAAAATTGTAACATGAGTAGAATTTTACTATTAAAATACAATTAACCCAACTGTGAAGAAAAAGAAATCCATCAACCCTTGATGGTGTAAAGTTAGGAAACATTACTAAGTTTGTTCAGATATATTAGCACTCTTTCCAAAATTAAGAAATTGACTCGCTGGTACTTGTTTCTTGCCTGGTTCACCCTTTTAAAAGGCCCAGTGGCAGAGCAGTGATGAGTGACCCATCTAGGAACCAATCCGATTATATGTATTTAATATTTGTGACTCATGAGAGTTATGTATTAACTAACTTCACAGCCAGTCACAATTCATAGAATTTATGCGAGACCAGTCATGGGAGAACTGAGGCAAAGAGAATTCACTTCAGGATCTTCCTATAAAATCAAACACATTTTCCTGCAGCTCTTCACAGACAGTTTTGCAGACCCTAGCATTTTCTAGCTGACTGAGAATAGATATCTCAGTGATGATTTGTAGCAACTGAAGTGACAAGGTGACACTATTTTTTCCCCTAATTCTCAGAATAACTACAGATGCCGTCACAGGATATTTTTATATCTATATTAATGGGTGTTCTGTTTGACAAGTAGTTTGAACATCTGAAACCAGGTATTTTAAATCAACAGTCTGACTTAGAATTTAGGTGAAACTAAACTACTTTGCTCCTGCTTAGATGAATATCAGTGAGGTCACAGTCTAAGTAGTTAATGAGCTATTTATCTTGAATGAATGATATCCGAGTATCATCCATACCTCTGTTTCAAGGGTTATATTTATAAATTTTATGGTAATTTAAAAATACAGAAAGTCACACTTAGTAGTGCAGCTTTATAAGAATGTCTCTTAAAAGCTGAGTCTTCACCGGAATCAGCACATGTAAACTGACCATTTTTATTTTCTCACATAAGCTGCTGTTTAGCTATCACATCATGTTACAGAGGTTTCTTAAAATAGGCTTAACCATTGGAAGAATAATTCCCAAGAATAAGACTCAAGATAAGTAATGAGGCATTTAAGTGCTTCATTTAACGGAATACGAAATGTAATCACCTAGTAGCAGTCTAATTGACACAAAATAAGCAGAAAGAAATATATCTGATTACAATAAGGTCATGTGTGAATAAAAACTGATTTTATCAATATTGCAGCATTTAAGCCCTCACATTTATATTTCACAGGATGGATTAATATTTAGTTGTAATTAAGGTGCTTGTCATATTATTTGATCCCAGTAGGTAATTAACTGGTATCTATTCACAGTTTATATTACTAACTCTTGCAACTTTTTCGTCTTTCCATCTGTTATCTATTAATGCACACAGGCGTAGGAGTATATTTGCTTTCTTAACCCTGCTACCTTCATGTCTTTGGACTGATTATCTTTTGGCATTTTATATTAATCCTTGGTAAGTGATTTTTTTTTTTTTTTTACTGTTTAACACAGGCTCTTTAAAAGTTAGCTTTCAAGGAGTAAACAAAAAGGAAAGTTTCTTTTTGACTACTTTATATGTTCAGTAACACCTAAAGTTATTAATCATGTATTGAAGTGGATTAAAGCAATTAACAGTACAAAGATGTTAACTATAATGTTTTCTCAGTTAAATTTATTTCTCATGATGTTCTTGGCAAGGTTTTTTCCCCCGTTTAGTACTAGTTATTTGATTCTTCATTGAGTCAATCCATTGGCTTTCATCTTTATAAATAATGCTTTCCATTTTCCATTATCGTCTTTATCCATTAGAAAGCTCCAAACTTCCAAGGTAGAAATACATTAAGATGCAGTAATCAGAGTGTATTAATAGTCTGTATCTGAGGGATCCTTGTTTTTATAATAATGCTAACTCAGTGACTATTGAACAGCTGACTATGTGCAAGCCTCTTTGTTATCTTAATTAATTATCTTATTTAATTCTCCCCGCAATCCTTCAGAAAGTATTATTAGTCCCATTTTCGAGATATGGAGGCTTGAGGAGATTAACTGTCTTAATAGCACATTCCACTATATGGAAAATCCAGGTTCCAAACTCAAGTCTCTCTGAAATCTATTCTGCCTCTGTAAAGAGCAGTCTTCTTTAATTTTATTTTCTTGACTTATAGATCATTTTAATAATCAAATCCTGAAGTGTTCCTTTTGACTTTTTAATATGTAATAATAATAGTAACCTTGAATTATGAGACTAAAGAATCAAGAACTATTTCTTTTCTGTGATGTAAGATAAAGGTAGCAGTTTCCCATGGAACTGACAAAAAGTCATTGTCCTTAAATATTAATACCTAGTGTTTAGGTACTGAATTATGTACAGACAGAACCATAAATGTGGACAACTTGAAAAGGTCTCAGAAGAAAACAATAAAAATATAGACCAGAAAAAATAGCTTATGGGGTGGGGGTGGGGGTATGAAAAGCAATCTGGAGAGTGTATTTATTCAAAAAGACGGTTGAACAAACGTTCTTCAGCTTCTCTAAGGACAGAATAAATACAGCTGGCAGAATTTAGGATTTCAAGTTGCAGTGGAAGAAACATTAAAAAGGATTTCCTCGAAATAGAGATTGTTAATTCCAGAATTCATATCTTCGTTTAAAAAAGAGAGAGACTAGAGGAAAGCTTTTGAAACAAAGTAGACATGATGTATAAGTAATAAAGTCAGAAGATTGTGCTAGATGCTGAGGACCCATTCACTGTTATTCTGAGTTTGTTGTTATTACAGTTTTTAGTATAGGGCTTCAGCACAGTTGACTCGATATTTTCAGTATTTGACATCAAATAGTTTTCAGGTATGTGTAGCACACATAAATTCCATTTTTACCTTCAAAATATATATTTACTTTTAACTGAACATCTACCAATCCTTCTCAAATAGTCTATCAATGAAATACTGATAGCAAATACCCATAAAGCATCCCAGATTGCAATTAAAATGAAAGAAAGAAAGATGAATATATTATTTCCCTGCTTAATTCTCTGAGACTTTCTTATTTTCCACAGTTCGTTTTTAAGCTTCTGTAAGGTAGGCCTGTGCAAATAAGCACATCTTCCTTAATAGGCCTCACTGATGAACCTACCTTCAAATTTCAGCAACCCTCACAAGGTCTGCTATTTATAGTACCAATCAAATAGCATGAGACCCAACTTGTGGGGAGAAAATACCCTTCAGTAGTTTTTAGAAGAATCACCTTGAAACTGTAAATGGTTGTCTACAGGTGAGAAGAGAATGCAAAGGATAGAGTTCCATGCTTTCTGTCACTTCCAGTAAATTTCACACATAACAACTAGTGAAAACATACTAGATATAAACTGTCTTCTTAGCCCTAGGCTAGTATACTGGCAGATACAAAACAAGTGAAATTCATGGTCCCCGCTCATTGAAGTACAGCTTCTACTCACACAACCACTCAAATTCCCTGTTTGCTTCATCTAATCACTTGTGGTTATTTTCCCCTGCTCTCATTGGCTAAAGAGTCATTTTTAATCCTCCTAATGATGTGTTTGTCTTCATATTTCACTTACCCTGTTAACAACAGCTGCAAATAACAGAGCCATCTCCCCCGATGCACACGGCCTAACACAATGTTCAACTTCCTTTCTCAACTGTCAATTTCTTGGAAATACATGTTCCTGTTGATTTTCTAAAACCCATCTGATGACACTAGTGGTTTGTGTAAAAATCAAAAAACTCTTTCTCTCTCTCATAGTGTTGCTCGAATCTTTTCCCGGTTTGGTAGCAGAATCAGTGTGGAGGACCAATGCCCAGTTAGGTTAGTGTCAGGATCGTGTTCTGCAAGGATTTCTGACTTTCATAACTTAGATTATATTTCCTATTGAAAGAAATCATTTAGATTCAGTGTTACTACTTTTTATTTTTATTTTTATTTTTTTTACTGCCATAATGACCCTCATGCTGTACGCAGGTTTTCATCTGCTTGTTCTCAACCCTAAGCAGATGGCAATTTGAACAGGAAGTGACGTTTAGTTGAAAATGCTCAGCTTTACTCATGATGATTGCATGTTCTATTTGAAGAATGATATAATCCTAAAGTCCTTTTTAAGATTTGGGAATGGTTTCTGCCTAGCTCATCAAAGAGTAAGCAGCACTGACAAAATTGGAGACTTTTAGAGTTTTCTTTTGTTTTGTTTTAACCATTATAAATCCCATGTCCTTGCTATTGCTTCTTCGGAATGAATTGCAGTTAGGATGGCTTTCCGAGACTGTCATAACCATGATGAACTCGTGCAGAATGTAGCTTAACTTTTTGAAGTCATTAGGATTTTGAACGTTACCTAATAGAAGTGAAAGATAACAAAATTAAAAGGCAAAATCCTCTATGCATATATGCTGTATGTATATCTGATGGGGGTTCTTTATTGATTTGGAAAATCTTTTGCAACAAAAAGGCGATACCCTACATGTCACACAAAATCGTCACTGTAACATGGGCACACATTCGCTCTTTCCAGAATGTGCTTAAGTTAAAATTGCTAGCAAAACCTTAATTTGCATAAATTTGACGCTGGTTTTAGTCTTGGAATTAACACAGCAATTGAAAATGTAGGAACATTTTATCAGTGTTGCTGTGAAGTTTCAGAATTCAATCCTGTCACGCTCCACAGCCTTAGGATACAGAAACCCTTCGGAATCAGCAAGATCTAAATAAAACAATGAAAACTGTGTACAAATCATCATTACTTATGAGAATATGTATATGATAATATGTCACACAAAACATGTAGCACAATTATACATTATATTGAAAGTTCATTCCATAATGAATGAGAGTGAAAGAAAAAAAATGTGTCTCTCCCGCATGAATCAGGTTTCTACACAGCTGCCGAGTTGTAGCAGCTTAATATTTCAGCACTGAATTTATTCAGTGTTACCCTCTCACACATATTTGTTACTTCCTAGTTTCCTTTAAAGTCTGTTTGGATAGGAAAGTATTTTTTTGTTCACTCTGGATCACAAAATATGTTGGCAGCCTCCTGACTTTGCAGAGCTGTTAGTCATCTCCTCTGACATTCTGCTTTCGGAAAGCACTGAAGTAATTGGCTTTTACTGCAAAAAGAAAATGTGGAATTCCTAAAGCTAACTAAATTACCATCACAGGGGCTGAATATAAAACATGATCAATAAATGTTCCTTTAGGCTTCCAAATGCCTGTTTGATACGGCTATGTCCAACATGACAGTGTTTTGTGAGGGGATCAGGGAAAGAGAGATTAAGGACTGAACAGTTTTTCTCTCTAATCTCCAGTATGGAAGATAGAGGATGAGAAGAAAAAATAGAACAGGATCCATTGAATGGATTGCTTTCGCTTAGAAGTGGGAGGAAATTAAAACTACCTGAAACACAAACACCACTTGCCTTCCTGGATGTGTTTCTGTACTTCCTGACCTGCGTTACTTTCTCTCCATCCACAAGTCCCATTTTTTTCAATCAGAACATCATTAGCCCAAGTCTAGTATCCAATTCTTTAAGGAATCATTCAGTGAAATTCTGAGGATAACATGGAAGAGATATTTTGTTTCAGTTCAATTGAATAGGCATTTATTGACCACTCACTATTTGTTTCATTCACTATATTCAGCCCTGGGGGGAGGCTATAGCGTAGCAAGGTGTGTATCAGCAACTAACAGTCACACAGTGTGAGAAACTCTCCATTGCAAAGTGCTGTGAAAGCACAGACAAAGTAGTGCTTCATCCTGCTAAAAGCTTTCGGGGAGTGGAGATATCCAAATACTCGTAATTCTAAGTATAAATAAATATTTGGGCACATTAAAGTACTAAGATCACAACTGGTTATTTACCATAGACTATTTATTTTCTGAAAACTTGGATGCTTCCATCAAAATTATGTAAAGATGTCTGAAAATTACGTATAAAAAAAAGTTTGCTATAATGTCATTCATACGATCATGTTTTAATATTTATTATTTATAGAAGATAATAAGAATACAATCACAAAGTGCTTCAGTAGATACTGTTAGCCTTCTCTAACTTATGTGAGTTATCTTGGTTGGGTGAAAACTGTTACCCTAGTTACCCCTAAACAAATGTGACTAACTAAAGCATGCATTAGCATTTCCTGTGTTTGAGCTTATAGACCAGTAATGATGAAGGGCAAGCAGGTAATAGGTCCGGTTCTTCAGAGAGCTTAAAAATTAGTTCAAGGTGGAAAAAAAACAATGCCATAGTAGAATTATATAATATACACATCCACACTGACAGCACACTTTCATATCCCCAAAGAAAAATGTCAGAAAAGGTTATTTAAGTCTTTAATTAAAAAAAAAAAATTCCACCCTCTCTTTATTAGTTCTCCATTTTATTCTACAATTCTCCCTTCCTGCCTGTAGAAACTGGAGTATTCAGGTGGTAGATAGATATTCCTATATATTTACAAATTGCTTGAGCAACCTCATCGACAGCAGTTAGAAATTTTATGTCTAGACTCAGTTTTTAGCAAATAGGAAATATAAAGTGCAGATATGTTCACGCAATCTAGTAGAGTTTTAAAACATGAATCTAAAATTATTATTATCTTCTCATTTAAGGAAAAGTAATTAAACAAACCTGACGTGTTTAATGAAAATTAAATTGAGGTAGCTGATGTAATTATTTAAAGCTCTTCAAGTTTAATTATTATGTTAATCAATTCTTTTGCCCAGATAAATTTGTCTTTTCTTTTTTAATTATTAGGAGTAAAAATGGCTTAAAGAAGAGGAAACTGACAAAGTAAGTTTTTCTTACTATGTCATTTAAAAGGATGTTTGTTATAATTATCTTAACATTCCAATTAAAGATTGTCTTCAAATAGAAGGGACGCTTAAGAAAGAGGCAAATGCGTGTTGCAATAGCTAAGCACAATAATGTATTGATCATTTATGCCTGAGTGGCAATGACCACTAGAAAAGTGCATCACAGAAATCACATCAGGAATAAGGACAATGTTTATCATATCAAATCTGAGAGAATGGATTATTAGTGATTTTTAAAGTCTTGGAGGAGGAAGTATGGTATTCTAAATACAGTATCTGAAAAATCTAATATTTAACACATCAAAGGGTTTTAGAAATCCTTTTAGTATTTTGAAATTCTGTGTTTATTGCAGGAAAAGGCTTATATGCTATTTGATGTTATAATAAATAATTTGATAATGCTGTCTCAAAAAACCTGAATAATAAGTAGAAAAGATAATTACTCTACACTGTGGTTTTCCTTATCTATTGAACCATTAAGTCAGAAGAATTATGATTGTGGTGAGTGAAAATTAACCCTCAGTTGATTTCAAAAGCCTGTTAGATTATCACCTCCATGCCTTTTCTTAGCTATAATTCTACATATGAGAAACGGAACTTTCCTTCAAATATAATTTGTTCTTGATACCTGCCTAGTATAACACTGGTGAATTAGTACAAGAAGGCAGTTAGGGGGTTCAGCCAGATCTGTGGCATCTATGCTTATGGAAAGAAATCACGAATAATCCATGACATAATCCAAAAGAAAAGTTGATGTAAAAGTGTTTCTAGTTAGTCTTGAGTGGCATACAGTTTTATGGCATATATGGAAACAGAATAATGTTTTCTAAATCAATTTCATTTATTTATTTATTTATTTTTATTCATTTATGTTTTTTGAGATGAAGTCTCGCTCTATCGCCCAGGCTGGTGCAGTGGCTCAATCTCAGCTCACTGCAACCTCCATCTCCCTGTTTCAAGCAATCCTCCTGCCTCAGTCTCCCAAGTAGCTGGTATTACAGGCACACACCACCACGCCTGGCTAATTTTTGTATTTTTAGTAGAGACGGGGTTTTCACCATATCGATCAGGCTGGACTCAAATTCCTGACCTTATGTGATCCATCCGCCTCAGCCTCCCAGAGTGCTGGGATTACAGGTGTTAGCCACTGTGCCCAGTTTCTAAGTCAATTTCAAACCAGTGTACATTCCACTGGCTCGTACCAACTGTTGTAGGAGAGGTAAGACCAGAGTGAATAGATGTAGGAGAGATAAGTTGACTGGGAGGGACGATTTCACAGAAACAGAAACACTTTGTTACCAAAAACTATTGGTTATGTTGGCAGGTGAGCTAGAGAGATGTAGACTAGATCATTTAGAAGACAGTGTTCTGGGACAAAAAGGAGAGGCTATGAAGGCTTGCTCCTCCCATGACTCAGGCAAAGAAAAGAAGGAGAAGGAAGACCCAGACGAAAGATATGGTAGAGATTAGGAATGGTAGAACATACCCACAAGCAAAAATAACACACACATTAATTCAGCTTCTGCCTTCCCCTATCTCATTTTCCTCTGAGTCTTCTCTCCTCTAGAAGACATTTCTTGAAAGGCTTTCTCTCACCTTTTTATTTGCCTTCTCTACCATTTCTCTTTCACTCCAAACGCCCCACCACTACCATGTCCCCCTGGTTCCCATCTTCTGTCTCCACTTGTCTTCATTCCATCATTCCTTTCCTCCACCTCCTCTTTACCCCTCTCCCTGTAAATATTTGTCCTTTTGGTCTCTGCTCCCTTCTAGCTTTCTTTTTCTTCTCCTCGTCATTCTCCTTCTTCTCGCTTATGTCCATTCTTCTGTTCGCTCTTCTTTCCTCTGTCTCTCTTTTCTCTGAGCTTCTTGCTTTTACTTCTTTTAACCCATAAATACTTTCTTTGGTTGGCCTTCAGTATACATGTGCCCATTTTCCCGGTAACAAGATGAAAGCCAGGGTTGTTAAATCCAACTTTAAGGTCGATGTACTGCCCAGAGACAGCAGCCAGAGATTGCAATTCTAAGGGGGTTCATTCCAGGAGAGGAGCCCCAACTTTAGCCATTCTTTTGGAAGGATAACAAGTTTGAAGTGGGAAAAGCTTTGAACTAGGACTTACTCTCCCTGGATTCCAATGAGAATTCTACTGCTTAGTAGACATGTGATGTTGGGCTACTCATTTAATTCTCTTAGCCATGGGCTCTCTCAGCTGGAACATGGAGCTAACGTTGTCTGTCCCTACCTCAGGGATCGATTAAGCAAGATAACACATGTGAATACTTAGGAAGCGTAGTGTGTTTTATAAACGAGTTATTGTTACTCAGTAAAAACATTTAAGTTGAAAGGTATTCTCTGGAAGATATAATGTCCTCTGCAATTTACTAAAATCTCAACATAAATGTATCCATCAGGTTAGCTAATCAACAACTTTAAACGAGCACTATTAAATACTATGGATTTGCTAATTGGACATAAGACCACAGTTAGGCCAGGCGCAGTGGCTCATGCCTGTAATCCCAGCACTTTGGGAGGCTGAGGCAGGTGGATCACTTGAGGTCAGGAGTTCAAGACCACCCTGGCCAACATGACGAAACCCAATCTCTTCTAAAAAATACAAAAATTAGCCAGGTGTGGTGACACTTGCCTGTAGTCCCAGCCACTTGGGAGGCTGAGGCAGGAGAATCACTTGAACCTAGGAGGCGAAAGTTGCAGTGAGCCGAAATAGTGCCACTGCACTCCAGCCTGGGTGACAGAGTGAGACTCTATCTCAAAACAAAACAAAAAAAAACAGAACAAAATATCACAGTGAGATGATGTAAGCTGAGTAACATGCCACAAGACCAAGGGAAGGGCCAACTATAAGGACACTGCCAAAGTGGAATAGCTTTAGTTAGATGACAGAATGCGGCATTGTGCCGAAGCAGAGAGCTACTTTAGAGAGCACTTTGGTTTAGGTAAGCATTGCTTATCCAGAGGGAATAAGCAGCTACAGGAATCTACAGGAAATTAAACTTCATTCCTATTCTCAAAAAAAAGAAAAAGAAAGAAAAAGGTGAGAACTTCTGCTTCAGATGCAGAAACATAAGCTCAGATGTGTTACTTGATTGTACCTCTGAGCCATTTTCCATACATTTATAGATATGCAAGCCTCTAAAGATCGCTCACTCCAGTGAGACCCTGGGAGCTTTCTGGACAAGTGTTTCATCCCACCGATCCTGCCTATGCTTTGGGTAGACTGTAGCTAGCAGCACAATTCCTTATACTTGTAAACCTGCTGAAACTTACGAAGTTCTTTATATACTATACGTCAACCTTGTAGATATAACTATAGTATTTTATAGATGAGAACAGTGACTCTGAAGAGTTAGGTGATTCTCCAGGATAACACAGTCTATAAAGCAAAACCATAACTCAAACAGGTCTTTGGAATTATTGCCTTTGTTACTTTCCGTATGCCAGAGCTTTCTAGAAGCAACATATATGGGTGTGTGTATGTGAGTATGCATGTATATAGTACTATACTTCCAGAGTAAAAGCCAAGTGAAAATCTAGAGATTTCTCCTATCAAAGAAGTTGGATATATATGCCCTTCTTTTCAATTGCAATATATTAAGGATTGGTAACTTGAACCAAAAACAAGCAAACAAAAAAGGTAAGTGCTAACCTTAGTGAAGTAAAACTTCTATTTTCTCCAAGAAAATTAAGAAATATGATATTGAACAATATATAATACTATCAACAAGAATTTTAAAGTGTATATATTTCTTTGTGTTTGACAAAGCCCGGTTCAACTGGATGACTTTGATGCCTACATTAAGGATATGGCCAAAGACTCTGACTATAAATTTTCTCTTCAGTTTGAGGTGAGTTGGTTAAAGTCTTTTCTACCTTCTGCAATGGGAAGGGCCTGGGCATTGTGGGGTTTGTGTTGGGGTCATGCTCTGCTCACTGGCAGTGCTTGTGATGTGTTTGCATAACAAGAAAGGCATTGTCCCCCGGGTGCTGATCGGCTGGTTCAGAGCAAGGATTGTCAACCCTTGCTTAATAGGCAAGACTTCAGATGGCACAAATGAGGGGAAGCAGAGAATAGGTGCAGGTACTGAGGTGAGCAAACATAGGTGGAGTAGAAGCCATCATTGAAAACCAGGGAACTTGAGAGTATAAGAAGAAAAATGCAAGCTGAGGCATGAAGCCTGAGACAGAATTTCCTTTCAGGGGATTTGTAGTGTGTTTCTCCTGCTTCTTAGGCCACAGTAGGGGTGGATAGTGAATGAAACTGACCCCCTTTGTGTCCTGGGCACATAACATCCTGGAGCAGGGCTTTTCACACTGTAGGGCTCCTGGCGTTCTACTTAATAGGTTTTGTGCAGTTTTATTTTCTTTCCTTGCACAAATTGGGGAAATAAATTTACACATGATTTGTGTTAAGAAAAAAATTGCCAACATCTCTTTTTCTGAAGGATACATATTTCTTTGGGCCTAAAACCATGTGTCAGAAGAGTTGGAGGCGAGTGAGTCTAATATCTCAGCAGTGTGGGGAAGATAATTAGTCCTCACTTTTTCTTCCCACATATTTTATACTCATAGCATAGTCTAAATGGCCTCTCATCCCTCAGGTTTCTATGGTATGCCTTGAGTGGTCAGCAATTCAGAGAAAAGGGAAAGATAAAGTAATTTTTCTAAATTCTGTAGTTTTTTTGTTTTTTGTTTGTTTGTTTTTTATAAAGTCTTTTAAGTGCTCTTTTCTATTAAGGTAGCTGCTTTTTCTTCATTTGTTAAAATCATTTCTTCTTTCCATTTATCAGCCAAGGACAGCTTTAGTCTGCAAAAAGCATCAGTGGTCCTGATATGGACAGACTAATGGGAAATTTGAGGATGAGAAGAATCTCATACATTACCAAATACAAAGACCCCTAACTACCACCTGTGTCCTGAAAAATTCCACACAGAGTCTGCTCAGTTAGCCAGTGCATGCAGGTGCATAGGAAATTATAGATGCTACCCCAAATGTTATATCTCAAAGAAATTCAATTTGAATTGGAAATGAATGATGAGGATGGCATTTCAGAAAGTATATCAAGAAAAGGAGGATTTTTTTCTAAGCAAACATGAGGCAAAACTGAAAAAAATAAGTAGATGATTCTGACAATAGTGATAGAAATTATGATGCAGCTACACTTTTAACCTTATTAAAGACACATTTTCTTTTGCTTTTTTTTTTTTTTTTTAGACAGAGTCCCACTCTGTCACTCAGGCTGGAGTGCAGTGGCACAATCTCAGCTCACTGCAACTTCTGACTCCCAGGTTCAAGCAATTCTCTTGCCTCAGCCTCCCAAGTAGCTGGGATTACAGGTACCCACCACCATGCCTGGCTAATATTTTTTTGTATTTTTAGTAAAGACAGGGTTTCACCATGTTGGCCAAGCTGGTCTTGAACACCTGACCTCAGGTGATCTGCCTGCCTCAGCCTCTCAAAGTGCTGGGATTACAGACATGAGCCACCGCACCGTGCCTAAAGCCACATTTTCTTAATTCCTTCAAGATGACATGCCCTCAGAGGCACAGCTAGGATCATTACTTCTGCTGGCAACTCACGGTTTATGTCTTGAAACCCAAGTGTAACTGTTACTGTTTCGGAATTGCTTGACTATAAAAAATTCAAGAAGTCATTTTCTAGTAAACATATTCTTTTAATTGTGAATAACAAAAACATGGCTCAAATTAGTCTAAGGAATGGTGGTTTAAAGGTTGCTAAGGTATCTCATACAATCAAAGAAAGGGTTGAGTAGCTAGACACGAGGAGAAGGGGGAAGAAGCACAGTTTGATGAATGACTGGAGCCAGGGACTAGAACCCTGCAGGATCCCCCTCTATTTCTCATTTCTGCTTCTCTCTGTCTTGGCTTCACTTTGTTTCACTGAACACCAACCTCTTTTTTCATAGTGGAAAGCACCACATTCTTTCGTTTCCATGGTTTCCAAAGGGAACGATTGTCTCTCTTCCTTGTTTGTAGTTAAATTAACAGGGGAGGATTCTGACAGACAAGCCTGTGTCACGGTGCCCATTCAAACCAACTGCAGCCAGAAAGGCAGAAGCACATAACCTCTAACTGGAACCATGTGGCTCAGTTAGCAAAACCTAAGAAAGGCATTATCTCCAATAAAAAGAGAGTATTGAGAGAACCAAACGACGGTGATTAGCATGCTCTCTTTAGATATTACAAAAACATGAAAAGCAAAATTATAAACTTGATGTCCTAAATGTTCAATTTATAATATGCTGAGAGCTTTTATACGTTCAATGGACAGATGCATACATTTAGCCTGATTTCATAGTGTGACCAGTGTGACCAGGTGACAGGAGCAGGGCTGCAGGGGTGTCCCAAAGACGCTCTCTCTTCCCGGATCAGATGTGTTTTCCCAGGTCCTTGGGCCTCACTCACCCAAGAATGAGTAAAGGGCCCTGGTGGCGAGCTCCTTCAAATAAGTATTGAACCCAGAGAGTTTTGCAGAAAGAGATTTATTAGACAGAGAGAGGTAGAAAAAAATAAATATAGAGAGAAAGCGAGCTACCATGCTGTCGTGGGAAGGGATCCAGAAACGGAGTCTGCACAGGTAAAGGGAAGGAGAGAGAAGGCTCCCACACTGCCATGGGAGGGGATCCCAGAGAGGGAAATCCATCTAGGAAAGGGAGTAGGGGGGATTTTAACCCCGGCGTTACTCCCGCCCCATTCAAGTTTTCCTCCAGTGAGAAGAGTTCTATCAAGTTCCTCTGGAGTGATTGAACTTTGACTCTGATATTGGATTGGTTGCCTGGCCCACAATCAAAGCCTCCTCCCTCGGAGCTTTTGGCAGGCTTTCTAAACAGAGGAAGTTCACCTGGGCTGTCTACCTAGCCCCGCTCGCCCGGGAAAGTTAGAGGAAGAACTCTAGGCTCCTGGGTGGGGAGGTGAATGGAGGCATGGTGCTGGGAAGTTCTTACCTTTGAAACCACACCCCCTTGTGGACCCGGGAAGAAAAGTTAACATAGCCTCTCAACAGGATTTATAAGGAGGTTAGGAATGTACTATAAACTAGGAATCTAAAAACCTGAATTCTCGCTACAGTTTTGCTACTAACATTTTTAAAAACATGTTTTTTGTTTTTTTTTTTTTTCTTTAACCAATTGATACATAACAAGTTTTGGGGGAATGATGTATTAGATACAGATCTTTTATGTAGTGAACATGCTTATATATAAATTTGAATTTATCCAACTACTTTGTTGGAATAATTCCTTTGGATTGAAACTGCCAGGAGAAAGTATACGCAAAATCTACATTTCGAGTAAATGTCCCATAAGTGGAGTATGTTTTCCCAGTGTTTGAATGTTCCCCACTTCCTAAAACTACACACTGGATATCAACATTTGTCATCATTGGTAATATAATATTACAAAGAAATTGCTTTCTCATCTGTTAATGTTAAGCTACATCATCTTCATACAGCACTATTAGTCATTTGTGTTATTTTATTTTCCTCTCTTTCTTTTATTTTCATGTACCTTATAATCTTCATTTTGTTACTGATTTCTAGGAGCTGATTTATGATTAATGAGGTTAGCATTTTGTCAAGCACTGCAAATGAAATACTGTTTTTTCCCCATTTATTTTACACTGGGGTTTTATTTTGGATTTGTACAGAAGTTGTGAATTGAAAAATAATCATGTTCTGCTTTTTTTTTTTAAGTACATTTTCCATCACCTTAGTTTCTTTATGTATAAAATGAGTAAGTCGAAGTAGATCAATAGTTCTCAACTGGACAAATACCAGTCAGTCCCCAGAAGAAATCTGAAAATGTGTGGGAATGTTTTTGGTTGTTTTGATAGATTGAGAGGAGGGTACTAATAGTATTTTATGGAAGAGGGACAGGAGTGTTAAGTGTTCTTCAATGAGTGGGACAGTCCCACACAATGGAGAATTGTCCCAGGCCAAAAGTGTTTGATTGAGCAATATGGATTAAATATGGGATGAGGCTACAAGCAGGCTTGATAACCCATTTGGATTAGTCAGCGTTTTTGAGAGAAACCAGTGGGATGTTTATATAGAACAAATAGAATGTATATAGAGAGATCTATTTTAAGGTATTGGCTTATGAGGTAATGGAGACTGGCAAGTCTGAAACCTGAAGGGCAGGCTGGCAGGCTGGAAACCAAAGGAGAAGCTGAGGTTGCAGTTCTGAATGTGAAGGCAGTGGGGAGGCAGATTTCCTCCCTCCTTGTGGGACCTGCCTCTTCTCTTCAGGCCTTCAACTGACTGGATGAGGCCCACCCACATTATGTAGCATAATCAACTCTCCTCAAACTCTACTTACTTACATGTTAATCACATATGAGAAAAATACCTTCACAGCAGCAGACTGGTGTTTGACCAAGCAACTGGACCCTATAGCCTAGCCAAGTTGACATATCAAATTAACCATTACACCATGATTTGAAGGTATTTCATATTGTTCCTTATGATGATGCTCTTTTCATGTATTTCTATGCTTTGAACATTACTGGTCATATAGGTAATTAATTAGGTGTTAAGTCCTGACATTGTACACATGTTCTGGCTGGAAAATACAACTTCCTCTCTAGAGCTCTATTTTAAGTCACAGACTTAGACTGTAGGTTTTGGACTAACATTTGCACAAGCTATGGCCCACTGGGACAACTCACTTCCTTCGTCATTTGACAGCCTTCAGATATTACCAGTTCTCAGTCCCATCCTGCCCCCTACATCCTCAGGGTCAGTGTCAGGGTCTCCTCATTGATTTTCATAGGAGCATTGTGCTCCCATGCCTGATTTCACGGTGTATGTTGGACCTTTCACATGGCAACC